GAAGAGTAATATATCTTTCCTAGAATAGATGGCAAGATACAACATTGTTTTATTATGTGTATTCTTGCTTGAAAATGTATTAGGCACATAGTTATAGAAGGTAAGTAAAAATACAATAACAATTCTAGTAAATCTAATAGAGCCTTAAATAAACTTCAAGTAATCTTTAATAATCCAATTAAATTTTAACCTATTAAAATAATTTTTTTAAAAATTGAAAAAATAAACACAAAAAGTCATGATTTAATCTCAAAGAAAAATCATAAGAAATATTAAAGAAATATAAAATTCATATCTACAAAAATAAAAAATAATATTTAAAAAATATTAAAAATAAAAATTAAAAAATTAAAAAAGAATTTTAAAAAATATTAAAAATATAATTTCTAATATAACCTTATTTGAAACCCTAATTGAATCTTTATCAAATTTTGGATCAAATTCTAATTGAAATCCTAATTGAATCTTAATCAAATCCTAAATCAAATCTTAATGAAACCTTAAATAAATCCTTATCAAGTTTCTAACCAAATCCTAATCATAACTAAATCTTAGATCAAATTCTAAGCTCAAATTAAATTGTAAAAAAATCCTAAATCAAATACAATTAAATCCTAGATCTTAAACAAATTTGTAATAAGTCCTATAACAAAATAGAACCTTAACAATTAATGATTAAATTATTGATGCCAATTCAAAAAAATTATATTTTTAACATCTTAATTAAAAATAAGCATAAGAAAGATAAAATTGATTGCACTTATTAATTGAAAAAAATATAAGATAATCCAATTGGGTGTTGAATGGCTTCTTATTCCAACCTAAATGTTGATTTTTTAGTACTAATATTTCCTTCTTGAGTTATTAAATTACTCTCAATTTTTTCTTAAATGTTAGAAATTAAGTCTAATATCTATAAAATAAAAATCACTTTAATCCAATTGATATATTGCTAAAGATCTTAGAAATACTTGCTAATCCTTAAACTCTAATTTTTGAGTCCTCAATCTACAAAAACCCCCGTGTACTTCAATCTAATAGTTTAATAGACATCAAAATTTGCATATGCATTTCAAACTAACATACAAATACATAGCCCAAATTTTATTTATACACACTCCAAAAAACTCAAGAAATCTTCAAATTTATAAACATATTTTTATTTTTCAAATTCCAATCCTACTAAAAACATTATTAATTTTGAATTTTTTTTAAAATATTAATATTGATTCAAATGACATAAAATTAATGCATTATTTTTTTTTTTTAAAGTTTTCTTTCAAATTCTATTCTCAAGTCTATAAAAAATCCCAAAATCACTATAATAGAGAAATTTTGTATAAGTCTATTTTATAAAAAAAATAAAATTAGTACTTTTTAATTTTAGTATTTTATTTCTCTATTATCTATATTTCTAAGATAATTTACTATAATATTTTGAAATGAGATATTTTATAAAATAATATTTTCTATTCTCTTTCATTTATTAGTCATGTTATATAATGCCAATGTATTTGATATCACAACCTTGGAAGAGATTTCCAATGTTTGGTGATTTTATTTGAGGTAGGAACAACTCTTAACAGTGTTGTAAATGTTTTATTTGAAGGGAGTTATGAAAGCTTTAATAATGATTAAAGAACAAAATGATATTTTTTACCTTGATATGATATACTATTGATAGTTGAAAAGACCTATTAATCATCTTCAAAGAGAACAAAGATCAAAGTATGTAGCAAACACAATTTGCCACATCTTGGACTTCTTCAACATATGATGACTGCTCTTCATGGAATTCTATTGTAGAAGGAGAGGTATTATCATGAATATTCATATTTATTCTAATGTTTATCTATGAAATTAAGTAGAAGTAGATAAAAGTAGATTTATTATATAATATTTTCTAAAGAAGCTTCATAGACACTACTTTGACTTTATATGTATTTGTAATTGATTGATCGGTTAAAAACTTCAACAACAAGTTAATTAAATATTGATAGCTTGCGGAATAAGCTAATTATATAGTGCGCATACAGAAAACTTATCTTGCAAGTTTAGATATGTGTCTTGTGAAGTTAATATATTTTGAAGTACTTATAGGACATTGCTACATAGCTCTTAATTGAGAGTATATATGGAATCAAAAGTGAAGACTTCTTTACTCTTGTCAATGCCTTTTTAGTTTTTAGTCTTATTTCAAGACTTTTTAGTATTCTTAGCTTTAGAAATAACCATTCTAATTTAATACTATATCAATTTTAAGTAATTTTCTAATCTTTTCAAGTGACACAAGAGTGTATTGATATTTTAGTTCTTTGAGGTTCATGTCCTTGATAAGAAGCTTCTTAGAAGCTTTAAAGATACAAATTTGATTTCATATGTGCTTGTACTTAATTGGTAGGTTAGAAACTTGACCATATATTATACATGTCAATGACTTGAGGTACAAGTTGGCCATGTGGCGCATATATAGAAAAGTTGTTTTGCAAGTTACACACATATTGGATGTTCTATAAAATATTGTCATGTAGCTTCTAGTTAGATAGTATATATAGAGGTAAGAATAAAATCTTCTCTACTTTTTTCAACACATTTATTATCTATATGTTTTGTTTCAAAAAATTTTAATTTACTTATTTTTGGCAATAGCCATTTTAATTTTATTATTATATTATTTTTGAATAAATATCTAATCTTTTGAGTGACACAAGAGTGTATTGAAGTAATTATTTTTTGTAATTCATGTCTTTGATAAGTATAGTGCATCAATACTTAGTATCTACCATTAAAAAAAAAAATTAACAAAGTATTCTTTTAATCAAAGTCAAAAATTATTAGTAAAAATGATAATATCAATCGTAGATCTATGTCATAGAGCAAACATATACATACATACTTAATGGCTTTTATCTTTGATAATGTATAAATAATAAATGATATCTTTGAGAAGATGAAGAGACGTCAATAAATATAATTGACATATTTAATGAATGTTAATTTAATAAAGTCAATAAAAAAATCAAGGATTTTTTTGTGTAACAACTTTATTAGTTTATTTTAGAATTGACTTATAGAGCAAGCTTTGTAATTAAACTGGTTTGGTTGAAGAGATTTTATCTTGTAAAAAGACTATTCAATTTACATCTCTAATTATTTAAATAGGAATTAATAAAAATAATATTAGTTCAAAGACATTAAAGTCACATGTTGAAAGACTTATGATTTTAAGAATGGTGCCAATCACAAATACACTTGGTTTCAACTAGTCAATAATCTAAGATTTGTAATTTTTATTAGATAGTATAAAATATATATATATATATATATATATATAGAATAGTACTGAAGGATGTATGTTTTAAGATTTTATCTAAATTTCTTCTTAAAAAATTATGATTATGCTAAATCTTATAGATAACAACATATGCTTTGTAAATTCAAAGAAGGGTGCTTATGGTAGAATAAAATATGCTTTCTACATTCCTACCACATATAATTATGGTAGAAAATAACAATAATAATTATGTATTACATTGTTTTTGAGACAATTGGCTTATTAAAAAAAAAAAAAAAATTAATAGTTGATAATATAATAGTGTCAATATAAAATAAATAAATAGATATGTAAATGCACTAAAATAGCTAGAAAAAAATAAGTTAATGGAATAATCTCAACAACTTGTTAAAGAATTTTAATAACAACTATCCATATCAGTCTAATAAAATTTCTTTTCTATGGATATTTATATATAATGATACAACAAAACCAATAAATATAAATAGATTTGTAAAATCTAAATTATGTATTTTTTTAAAATCAAACAAGTAGATACCGTATTAGCTATCTATATCAGTCTAATAAAATTTCTTTTCTATGGATATTTATATATAATGATACAACAAAACCAATAAATATAAATAGATTTGTAAAATCTAAATTATATATTTTTTTAAAATCACACAAGTAGATATCGTATTAGCTAGATTTGCTATAAGTCAAGTTTATGCACAATCATTATCTTTCAAGGACATTACAATATTACCATATACTATATTATTCACATTAATATAATCCATGAAAGTGATTGTAGCTTAAAACACTCTAAGAATGTATTTTTACTTGAAAGTATTTTTTTTTCTAAAACAAGTAAGAAAGAAATCAGCTATGATTTAAATAATTATAGTTATATATAAATTGAAAAAATATAAATTAATTAAGAATAAAAAATAAATACTAATTTTATATTAGATAAAAGTCCTAAGCAAACTATGTTTATAAAATATATTTTAATCAAGTTTGTGTGCTCTAAAATAATACAATCACTACTTTGTGGCCCTTGCCTCTACATAATCTAAATGCATCCAAATGCATAACGCTTTTGATGCAAAAATGTGGAGACACCAATACATTAGACTTCTAATTTGGTACATATTGTGGTTGAATTGAATAAAATCATATAATGTAGAAAATCACTCGAGATGAGATTGGAAACAACTAATCAATTGTGAGGCCTTTTTTAGTAATTGGGATAAATGTTGGGTGTCTTTGAAGTTTACAGAGCTCATGTTGATAAAACTATGAAATTTGTACTAGTGAGTTGACTGTTCATGAAACAATGGAATAAAACTATCACTGTCTGGACTTAGATAAGCAGGAAGATGTGCTTGCGGGATGTTGAGGTGCTGGATTCCTTAGTTGTATCTTTTAAACCCCTACCACTAAACATCAGACATACCCAATTTGTGTCAAAAATAAAACCAAAAAAAGTCGAAGCAGAAATAATTGTATATTTTTCTGCCGGGAAGCGATTGATTTCAGTCACAATCTGCATATTCAAGGGTTACGTTTTCTATATTAGTCAGCCTTGAGTGTTAAGATTTGCGATATGTTTTGTCACTTGATTTAATTTTTTCTGCAGAAGAATTTGGTTCTTTCAATATAGTCAACCACCCGAAGCACATAAAAAAACACAAAACAGATTCTCATATGAAACCATGACTCAGTGAAAGCACGAAATTTATTAATCATTTGGCATGTCACGAAAAAACACAAGTTATGTGAACCCTCTAACTTGCAAATATGAGCAGTCAAAGAACGATGAAGGTAGTCATTGAAATCTAAGGTAAAGGAGGGTTCTCAAGATGCAAAACAGTAGACTTTCTATGTGTGCTTTGTTTGTGTACACTGCAGGGAAGAGTCAGTGGGAAGTGGAGTGAGCGCGGCATCATTTTGAAGCCGAAGTGCCACATCACCGCAATGAAAAAATTAAAAAAAGCTACGACGGGTCATTGCAGGCAATTCTAACTCCACGGTGGAGGTAGAGCAAGCTTCTGTCAAGGAATATTACTTGAGATTATTTGAACGCTATAGAAAAAATGATTCCATGTGAGCATAGACGAGTGGTCTAAGGCACCAGCGATCCGTGGCGCAATGGTAGCGGGACTGACGGGGGGTGCCGGGGAGCTCCGTGAATCGCGGAGTCACACTCTCGTCCTAGATCCGGATCATACTCAAGCGCATTTATCAGCATTGCAATTGCAAACTCTAGGAGAGCGATTTGCATAGAGATAGAATCTATTCGCAATAGAATGGCGTATATTTCGACAGCTGACCAGTTCGGAGCACAGAGAGGAGGCAAGGATGTAGCGCCTCCAACTAAAGCAGGATCAACTAGTGTGCTAGATATCCCAGGAACACCAGCGGAAGGACTAGGGGAAGGATACTACACGCGCAGTCGCAAGAACTCACAGCTACGAGGAGATTCAATTCCACAGACAAGGAGACGAGTGATAAATAGGAGCAGAGCCAAAACGCACAATGATGCTGACGAATTCTGGTTTCATCCTCTCAACAAACAGCTCCACCAATTGATCAGGTAAGTACCCCTACCACGACTCATGATTTACAACAAACTAAACCTCCAGACAAAGCAACGAACTCTCCATACGAGACGTTCAGCCGCAACATCAGCCTGCACTCCACATAGAGCTACATCGACAAAGAGATATTTTTACTACTCAAGAAACAGATACAAGAGAAGCGAGCACAAGGCAATCACCTAATCCAGCAATACCCCAACATTGGTCTTACCCACTCAACTACAGAACTTGAGGACCTCCAGGATCTTCTACGAAGGATTTTTCCAAGACTGGTGCGATTCCTAGATCAGGAACAACCCACCACAAAACCCTCAGATACACCAGGAGATCGAGCAAAACTGGCCTACTCAGAATCGCTAGACACTCTAGCACCAAAGACAATACCAGAGGTGGGGCAACCTTTGGAACTGGAGACACCAGTAAGACTAGAGAGACCATTACCTAACCCTCCCCAGTAAAACACCCTCTCGACGACATAGATACAGGAAAAGGAGCAGTTACCTCACAACCTATAGAAGAAGAATCCACATTCAGAGTTACCTTGAATGCAGACAAACTAGAAAACCACAGAAACCTTTTATCCCAAGCGGAGGACGTCATGGTGCTAGGACAGATATTAGGAAAGAATCCAGGTGTTCAAAAATTTACACTCTGGGCTTGTCAGAAACTACACACATCCTTCGTAGCCCTCTCAATGAGAGCAAACAATTATTTTGAACTGGAGTTTGCACATAAAGAAGGTAGGAACCTAACAATCTCTGAACAATCCTTTATGCTAGAGACCCAAGAGATTCGAGTCTCCTCCTGGACACCCTACTTCGGCACAGATAACCAGATAGATAACAAGAGTACAAAAACCGCCCTTTGGGCCCAGGTTATTGGCCTTTCCCACCGCCTGAGGACCAAAGCGTATCTTACGGACGTCCTCTCCAACTTCAGTGAAGTCCTCCTAATAGATGACAACGAGAACTACTAGTCAAAATTTTATGGGCCTAGAATCAGGAACTTAACAGATAACGAGGAAGCACTACCAAAGACAATCCAACTACAAAGACTCGATGGAATAGGGGAGGTGCAATACACCATGGAATACAGCGGATATCCACAGCAATGCATCCAATATCGATCCCGAAGTCATTTAGTCAAAGACTGCCCATCACAGAGACGACCCATGGACGAGAGGAGAGACATCGCAAACAGGAACCGTACACACACGGTACCCTAGCATAAACCTAAACAACAAACAAAACCCTCACTTCCCAAACAAGGGAGGTCCACATTTCAATCTGGTTCACCTGCTTATCAACAACCACCACAATGAGCGAAATTCATATAGAAACCAGTCAATAGAACCTCGACTGCAACCCATAATTCGGTCCCAACTCCAGTAGGAACATCAGGTAGGCAGGTATACACGACTACAAGGCTCCCGGAAACCATTTGGAAAGCACTCGACTTCGAAACACCTACGGGGATAGAAGCCTACTCAGCCTTGATCTCCTTGGTCTTCATCAGGAAATCACCAAACGACTCCTACAAAGTATTGACTGAAAAAACCAGAGAGACGCCCAAACCGATTTCGGCATTTCATCTTAATCGTAACCCGAGTAACACTGCATGGACACAAGATGAAGCTTGAGCCTACATAGTCAATGAAACGATGCTGCATCTACGACAAAAAATGATCCTAAAAACAAAAGGAGTAACACCAATCCGCTAGTGGGATGACGCGTCATGGTTTTATTCATGGTCTAGACCTTCTGAAAATTCAGGATTGTGCACAATCGTCCCGATCACGACTTACAACGACAATGTAGGGGTCATCAAGAATCCCCCCAATTACAGATGGATAGCACTCCCGAAAGACATTTCGGATTCCCTACAAGCACTCAGTTCAACGAGATCGGCGGCTTGGGACTTCGGTGGCCTTGAGGGATGGAACTTGTTTACAGGAGATATAGTACCAGAATCACTTTCAGCAGAAACTATTCCACCAACAGCAATCGAACTAGATCATAACAACAAGAGGGACACTAGCCCCAATATTCTGGATCCCCCAGAATGAACCACAACCAATTGACAGTAGCATCGCTGAATGTACAAGGTCTTGGGAAAGATCATAATGGGATTAGAAAACGACGAGAGATGAAAGACCTCTTTCAGCGAGCTACCCCCAGACCCAACATTCTCCTAATTCAAAAACACAAGTTTTCAAGAGATGAATGTCTTGAAAAGACTAAGCAACTAGACTTTACGAATGGAACATCACTCTGGAACGAAGCCACTAACGCAGCAGCACAGGACAGTTTCCAAGGAGGGACAGGAATCATAACCAATCAACAACTTTCCAACAAGATATGTGAGCATGGGGTCATAATACCAGGCCGAGCACAATTCCTTACCATACAATGCACCACAGAGATAAAAGTAGGAATCATAAACATCTATGCTGTTAACCATATAGGATCCAGAGCTTGAATGTGGAGAAAACTTCAAAATTACAACCTCCCAGAAGCAAACTGGATTCTAATGGGAGAGTTTAATATGATAGAATCTTTAGATGATAAGCAGGGAGGATCCAAGACAACACGTAGAGGGTAAAGCAAAATAGCAGCATGGAATGAGTTGGTTTTTCACCTAGGGCTCCAAGACAGCATCCTTGCTGACTCTTTCTGTAAACTTACACAAAAGCACTTCACCTGGGACAATCGCAGACATCCTCCAGCCAATATCTGCACTCGAATAGACAGGGCCTACTTAAACCCAGAACTGATAGACATGGGAGGGCACGTAGGGATATGGAGGATCCTTCTCAACATCTCAGACCACGCACCAATCTTCATAAAACTACAAAACCTAGAAACCCAACAAATCAAGAACATTCCATTTAACAGACAGTTGGTAACAACAGAAGAGGGGCGGAAACTTTTGCTCAAATGCTGGCAAGACACCATACGTGATAGAGCACTCCAGACTTGGAACTCCCGAATCACAGCAGCAGTCGTCGCAGTCAAAAGAGAAAGTGACGCCGAGGGTAAAAGACAAAAAACCAAATGGTTTGAGGAATTCGAACTAAGTTTCGAAGAGGTGTACACGGCCGAAGTACAGCTCTAGGACAACTGGGAAGATAAGATTGCACTCTCAAATCTGGATACAAAACAATCAAAAATCCATCGCATTAGACAACATCGTACAGAACGGAAACATGACATAAATCAAGCAACATGGAATCGAGCAGGAGACCGCTGCAACAAAGAGTTCTTCATCCACCACGCAAGGCACAAGAAAGTTGTGCTAATAAAGGAGCTTAACGACAACGGAAGAATACTAGCCTACGAACCTGATAAACAAGCATATATCACCAAGTACTATACCCGCATGTACACTCGAGACTAAGAAGTAGAAGCCAACGTGACAGCCAGAGCAAAATGCTATGAAAGTAAAAGACAAAATGTCACACCCACTCAAAATGCGAAACTCACAGAACCTCCCACTCTCCAGGAGCTTTGCACTGCAGTAAAAGATCTCCCAGCAGGCAAGGCAGCAGGGGCGGACGGAGTTCCAATGGAATTTTTCAAAGAATTATTCGATGACATCAAACAAGACCTCCTCGCACTCCTCTCCAAACTCATGCAAACCTGTACACAATGCCAATTATTGAACGCAAGTAAAATCTGCCTACTCCCAATATCTGGAGACTTAACACAGATAACCAATTATAGATCCATCTCTCTCCTTGGTTCTGTTAACAAGATCCTAGCTAAGTTCTTTGCAAACAGAATGATACCCTTGTTTCCAGACTGGATTAAAAATCCCAAACCGTATTTGTAAGAGGACGCTGTATTTTTGATAATATCTACATGGCTTTCGGGACAATGGACTGGGCTGAAGCTAGTAGTCAGAACCTGATCCTACTACTCCTTGACTTTGAGGAGGCCTATGACCAAGTGTCTTAGAAGTTCTTGGAACAAGCCATGAGTGCCTTGGGATTCACTGCATAATACATCGGGATGGTAGTAGCATTGTATTCCCAAGCCAATGCTAGTGTATCACTTAATGGACAAGAAGGCACTACTTTCAAACTACAAAGACCCGTCCGTAAAGGATGTTCACTGGCTCCCTACTTATATCTTCTGGTGGGGGAAATACTAGACAGTATGTTAGATGACCTCAACAATGAGCTCAAGGATTTTACATTACTGGACTCAACAAAAACTACAAATCAGATGTTTGCAGATGACTTTGTTCTTCACCTAGAAGGCACAGAATTGAATCTCAACTTAGCTATAAACATCCTACACACATTCTGTGAAGCCAGTGGGGCCAAAATCAATTGGGATAAATCCATTGGGATTTGGGCAGCAAGACACTCTCGAACATGGGAATGGCAGGCTAACCTAGAAATGAAATGGCTAGAGGAGGGCAAAAGCACAAGGTATTTAGGATTTTCGATAGGATTCAGAGTGCCTGAAGAGGAGGTAGGTAACAAGTTCCTTCAACAGATCAACAATTGCCGAACACATTGAAACAGTAGGAATCTCTCACTAGCAGGCAAGATACTAACGGCCAACTAGGTGATTCTTACTTCAATCTGGTACCTTTGCTCCTGTTCATCCATAGCCATAACAGTCTTCAACCAACAAGAGGTATGGTCAGAAACTACCTCTGAGGAGCAACAGTAGGCAAATCAACTAAAGCTAAAGTGGCATGGAGAATAGTCATTCAGACAGTTGTAAGTGGGGACCTAAAAGTACTGGGATCTTTTGTGCAGGCTCTGCAATGATCCAGCAACCGAATCTGCCGAACACGCACTCTTCAAATGTCTGATAGTCACCGAGGCATGGACACAATTCAACCAGCTGCGCACAACCGCACGCATACATAAGCATTACATCGACTAGAACACGGTCAACATGGGACTACATGATACAGCCAGTCTTGCCACAATTGAAAAAACAATCGCTTGGATCCGCAACACAGTAGTCAATGACAACACAGCTTGGGAGATTCTTCGAGGGGCCTTCTTGTGGATCATTTGGGTGAAGAAATGCAATTAAGTACTGAATGGTACTCCATTCAGTCTTGAAAAAGTCCTCTACACAAACTGGAGAACAACAACACAAATCGGAATGGCCGCATGGCAAGACCTCTCCAAGCAAAAATACTCAGCAACGAAGGCAGCAGAGCTCAAAGGAATATTCAACAAAATTTGGACAATAAAAGAAGTATTTTCAACAAGTACGGAGGAACCTCAATAGAAACCAATACCTCTAGAGGCCTTTCTGCCCCTTAGACTGGCCACGCAAGGACAACCCACGTCTTTCCAGATACCAACACAAACCTCCCACGCATAAGACAGAGATTCAGTCAACTCAGAGAAAATTGACATCGACCTTAAGGTCAATGTAAAAGGGGCCATCAAAAAGCTCTTCACTGATGTCATTCAGGAGATGGACAACAGAAACATAAACACATAGAATTGCAGCAGCAGAAGAGCACCCACCAACTGAGTCACAGAACCCTCGACACTGCAATCCGAAGCACTACAACAAACTCCTTGATCTTTGCGTGGATGGAGTAGACATAGCACAGATCAGCAATAGATCCAGTCCCAGCACAAGAGAGTTTATCGACGAAACCCTAAGGTTCAAAATGGAGGAACTAAGGAATAAGGAGACCTCACTTGAGTTTGCAGGATCACCAACATTAACGAAAGCAGAATCTCGGGAACTATACCACAGAGAAGCAAGAATCAGAGAATTAACAAACTCCAACTACTCAGCTTTGGAGCTCCAAGAAGTTGCTTGCTCATTCGCTTCCAGGCACATCTGCTGGTCAAGCCGCATTGGAAGTTTACGTTGCCACAGCGCAGCACATGCTTGGCGAAGACTATAATTGCTGGATGAGCAATGGCCTTGGTTACTTCAACCTGGGCACAAGACACCCCCAATAATAAAGACACGAGCATAATACAGCGAAAAAGTAGGCAACTCAGAACACAGAAGGCCGTAGTAGAGAATAGATTAACAAGCTCAGTTGAGAACATGGTCACCAGATCACCGACCGGGAAGGGCCTATCACCGTATCACTATACACTTGTAACGGCGTCGTTTGCAGTAAGAGAAGTCTTACTCCTGTGGGGCTTCTCAGGTCTTGGTCATTAGACTCAACTTTAGTTCTCCGTAAGGGGTCGTGGATTCAAACCTCACTGCTGACAAATAACAGTGGTCATCAAAGCCTACTTGGGCTAGTTATGAAGGTCTGATTGAGGAAATCGGACATTGTTGCCCATTCCAGAAAACGAACTAGGTTTCTGTGTATGTTTGTTTTTAATGTTTAACGTGGATTTTGAATTGCCTGCAATGGCCCATTATAGTTTTTTTTGATTTTTCCATTGTGGTGATGTGGCACTTCAGCTTCAAAAGGATGCCGCGCTCACTCTACTTCCCATAGACTCTTCCCTGCAGTGTACACAAACAGAGCACACACAGAAAGTCTACTGTTTTGCATCTTGAGAATCCTTCTTTACCTCAGATCTCAATGACTATACCATCATCGTTCTTTGACTGCTCATATTTGCAAGTTTGAGGGTTCACTTAACTTGTGTTTTTTCATGACATGCCAAATGATTAACAAATTTAGTGCTTTCCCTGAGTCATGGTTTCACACAAGAATTTGTCTTTTATTATATTTCGGGTGGTTGATTGTATTAAATGAATCAATTTCTATGGCCTTCGATTTGCCATTTGAAAAAAGAAGTAGGCATTGCAAAAGTGTATTGTAGAGTGCTTAAAATTTTAAAAAAATTATTTTTGCTTCAATCCAATTATTACAGTAATAATTACCAAGTTTTAAAAATGGCAACAAATATAAACAATGACCAATAAAATTCATATGTGATGGTGGTTAAAAACAGTTAGGTTAGGCATACTAAATAAAATTTTATATGTTTTTTAAAATTTTAAATGTTTAATTATTTTTTATTTTAATTTTATACAACAATGTATATATTAAAATCACTTATAATAAACTAATATCGCAGTTATATTTATTATTCATGTCCAATTAAAGTATCTCTGTTTTTATTGATTTATAATCAAATTCGAGTACTTAAAAATAATAGATTATTTGCATGTGAATAAAAAAAATGATTTAAGATTAAGATGATTGATTTTTTTAGTTATTTTATCTGAAATAACTTATCTCTTTTAAAAATGATTTTTTGAATTATTTTGCACTTTTATTCTACCAATTTTTATTTATTTATTTGCTTCTAATAAAATTCTATTCTATTAGTACTAACATTCATAAAAACATTTTTTCTTATTTAGAACTTTAGGTTTTTACATTCATGTTTGCTAAAGAAAAATTGGATTATTTGATTTGGACTATTATAAAGGTTGAGGGGAGTAGGGCTAAATTGTTTTGTTGAATTTTTTATTCTGGTATTACTTTGATTAGTGCATTATCTTTTTATATTTGAAATTAATAACATAGATTGAGTGCACATATAAAATCAAACAATATTGGTTTAGTAATGGCTTTTAAATAAACATTATAAGAATTTATGATATAATAATTTGATTTTAAAATAAATGGTATTAATCAGAAATATACTAATCTTTTAAGAGAGTAACTATTCTACATTATCTCTTTGTACCAATCGCAAAAGAAATATTTCTTTCTTTTAAAACATGGTTGAGAACTTATTTTGTATGGATCATCAAATAATTTTAAATTTTAATAAGTATTTTTAATATTTTTATCTCTATTGATTTATTATTCTTATATAAGAATATGTCTATTCATATATATATATATATATATATATATATACATACATTGACTCTTTACTTTTTAAATAAAAAAATAATCCTATTTATTATTTTTCATTATCTTAGCAGTTTGTGCAATAGTTTTTATAAAAAACACTCATGATTTCTTTTACCTAATTCAATAGAATGCAAACATAATTCCTAAAAATGTAATAATTACTTTTAGTGTCATTACTATGTTTTCAACTATGATATCTATAAGAACGTAATTCATTCTTCAACCCAAATTACAAGATAGTCTAAATCAAAGGTTTTTATTTTTTTATTTTTTTTATTATTATTATTTTTTTTATAAGTGGTGGTGTAATGTAAAAGAGAGAAACAAAAAAAAAAAAAAAAAAAAAAAAAAAACAACACAAAATAAGTGAAAGAATTGCAATCAAGCAAATACACACTATAAAAACAGTATTTTTTTTTATTATTATATTTTTATCAATTAATGAATAAAAATAAAAGATAAAAAGTATATTTTTAAACAAATATGAAGGTTTCAAGATAAAAAGCAAATAATAAAATAATTAAGTAAATAAGTTTTCTCTTAAGAATAACTTTTTTAAAAGATCAAGGAGTTGAGCCTCACTAAGGCTCAAAAGTAAGATATATATATATATATATATATATATATATTCTAGAGATGCCACAAGGCTTTAGTCTTATCCTTCTATCTACATCCAATGTGCTCCAATTCATATGGAACTTGTGCACCTCCCTTCCTACACTAACTATTGATCTTTGTATTTTCTACTAATAAAACAAATATTTTTGACTTCATGTTGATCTTTTTATTTTCTACTAATAAAAAAAATATTTTTGACTTCATGGTGATGTTTAAAAACGCCCAATCATTGTAATGGATTTATATTTAAAAATATTTAAAATTATACTTTTAACAATTCTACCAATTAAGACCTATTGATAAGGATTACAATATCTTCTTTAGATATATATTGATTTGAATTTTTTTTTTTTTTTTTTAAATTTTATAGCAAATTTGGATCTTTTAAAAAAAATATTTTATGAATTTTAAAAAATATATTTTCTAATTTTTTTAATATTTTTATATGAAAAAATAAAAATAAATATTGACAATTTTACTTTAAATTTATGATTGTAGAACAAAGAAGTCTTTAAATTATGTAAATAAAAATTAATATATAGATTTTTAAAGATAAATTGTAAGATAATTAATTCTAGTACTTTGAGATTTATTTATATATTTATTTTGTTATCATTTTAATATTTTAAAAATACTTAATATTTTTCAAAATTAAAGATAAGTTAAACAAAGAATTGTAATATATGTTACAAGCATGCCACATTCAAAGGCTTTTTGTTAGTTAAATTATAAAATAGTATTTTTGAAATTAAGATTTTCTTATAATATAAGTTTAAAATACTATAATTAGATCAAAAATAATATTTAATATTTTAAATTTTTATTATATAGAATATGTTATTTATTTTAAAACACATAATAAATATTTAGGTTGGAATTACTATAAAATAAACATATGTTTTTAACTATTTATTTTCAATTTTTTTTACTATTTCTAATTATTTATATTTATATTTATTTAGTATTAGAATAATACTATATTCATGTTTTAATAAAGACATAATAAAATTCATTTATTATATAAATAATGATAGATTTTTATCTTTTGAGAGAACAATGATTAGAATCTAATCTATGATATATATATATATATATATATATATATATATATAAAGATAGAGATATATAATATGATTCTTTCTAACCAATTAGTAGATTGAGTAAATAGTATAAAATACATTCATTTAGAAAAAATATTGTTTAAATATAAATATAATTTTTATTAAAAGATTTCTGCTCTAAGTCCTAATTATGAATAGTTTAAAAAATATTGTAGATCTATTCATAAATAGGAGATTTTAAACTAGAATAATATTAATTTATATATTTATTTAATAAAAATTTAAATGAATGTAGAATAAACTAAATTAAAAATTTTCAAAATTTCTTTATTGTATACTTTAAAGCAAGAAAATTCTAGTTTTAATATATCATTAAAAGAAAAATAAATTAAAAGTGAACATGTTAATAATATTTTTTTTCTGAAAATTAAAAATATTTTTACATGGGGTTAAAAGTGTTGAAGTTATATTTGTTTTTGTTATGAAACACCACACTAAGTTGATGGTGAGTTTAGCTTTGAACATACTCAAACAAACACATATGATAATTTTAGAATATAAAATTAATTATTATATGTGAATAAAATTTATTTCTAATATGTCTTCAGTTAAATAATCAATTACACTACAATTAAAAAAATCTAAATGTTTAAAATTTAAAAATATGAGATTTTTCTTTTTCGAAAGGATTCCGGTTGCTTTAATTTAAACTTTTGAAGCTTGTTCGCGTGGATGATATATGAAAGTTGTGGATGGCAAGGAAACAGATATCATCGACAAGGGAGGTCATAGCGTTCACACATGCACAACTGAACCCTTGGAATTTCTTTCGAGCATCTTTGGATTTTGTGCCTAAGCTTGACTGACTTGATGCGGAAGCTCAAGCTCTCAGATCCCAAGCTCCCACAGTAACTTACATCATGCTGTTGCACTTAGGATTGGGAGGCACACTTCTGCCTTGTTTGCGAAAGGCTCTGAAGACGAGGTGTGACGATTTGTTCCACAAAAAATTGAAAGAATTTTTAGTTATCGCTTTGAGTTGCGTGAGAAGACTATCATGCTGTCTTTTCACTGGCTGCGGTTGGAGTTGAGATGATAGTGGTGATGTTCGCTAGATCAGTCTGCTAGGGTTTACTGGTCTTAAGATTTCTTGGTGGTCCGGGGCGAGACGATGAATAAGCCGGGAAGTGCAGGGGCTCAAGGGGGAGTGAGCGTCTCGGGCGCTGGAGGCGTGGTTGGCCCGACTGCTGCAGCTTCAGCACAAGCGGCGCAGAGACAGCGGTCTCTGTTGCAGAGGGCAGATTCAGATATCGGGATCTTGCTCGATAACTTCTCCCACCTTTTGAAGGCTGCTCGGGTGAGAGGAAAAAAATTCAGTCCTACCACGCTTTGATTCTCGTGTTAAATTGCCAGGGGAATTATTTAGACCTCAATTCCGTGTATCTGCTGAAGTGCAGGATGGTTGTCATGGATTCTTTTCTACGAGCAGTAAAATTTCATTTGTTCATTATGTTCTGAGTCTTCGATCACACCCGACTTGTGGACAATGAGCCCGTGGTTCGTGTTCAATGAGAACGTGTATTTCGTTTACAGATAAATGATCCGGTGAGGAATGCACAAGAAGCGTTTCAGATGGAGGTGCACGCATCTCGCGTGGTAATGGATCCTTTTTTGCTCATGACCATCTCTTCTTGCTCAAGCGTTTTTATTCTGGATTGTCTTTTAAGTGTTATCTTTGAATTCGCAACTGACTTCTTGGCGCCCGGCTGCCGCACTGAATGTTTAATACCTCGTTGCTCACTCCCGAAAGATAATTATGTACGTGATAAATTCGATGTGATACTACTCAATTTATTTAGGCATTATCCTCTGTTGTGTAGGTACAAGCTGCCGATTCATTACTCCAGCTGGTTTCGGAACTAAAACAATCAGCTGTATTTTCTGATTTTTTGTCATTGAACCGGAGCATAAACCAACAAATCATCAAGTTTGGAGAGCAAAGTCAAGAGACTGACAGATTGTTGGTAAGCGTTGGAGAAATAGTTGCTACCTCTTTGCAGGAATTGGAGTCTCATTATTATGCCTCCCCTCATCGGACATCAAGAATTGGCTCACAAATATTTCTAAACTCAACTATTGGTGATGGTGCATAGACTAATTATACATGATATCTTACAAATTCTGATCGGTCTGTACTATGCTGGATGCTATTGGTAAATTTTACTTTCAGACCGTCTTCTGGTTTTTGCCTATATTGTAACTAATAGCACGAATGCGTGACTTGATATAGTATTTTGGTTACTGATGCCAGAACAAATGCTTCGTCAAATTATAGTTTAATCCCTCATGTTGTATTTATGTGCTGGTCATTTTTGTTACTTGACTCAGTCTCTTTACTCGGCCCTGCACTTTGTTAATGCGGGAAAGATTTACACTGATGTATGATAACGCTTATCCGGGAAGATATGATTTTATTTTTGTCCTTTTAACTTATAATTTATGATAACTAACTTTTGAGATGGCTCTTGCAATCTCATTGTTCATGTCATCAATGCTAGCCCAACTACCCAGACACTGCTGCACCAAGCAGGAATTCTAAAGTTTGTCGTCATCAAATAGATTGGGAAGCCCACTTCCATTTGCGAATCACAGCTTTTCGTTATTTGCTTTATTCGTCTTCAGATTTTGGCTTCTGAAGCAAAATAGGGATCTAGATATAACCTTCCTTGAGCGGAGTGTGTTTGATCTCGACGGTAGTTCAATATCTCTTTCGATGATTTTACACTTCAAGGGGAATATCATTTTTGATATCAATGGAGGTCGTTTTTGGTGACGTTATTTGAGATATAATCAACGATGACTGTTGCAAGCTATTTTCCTTGGGTTTGTGTGTCGCATTCATTCTGAGGATCTTTCATGTGAAACGTAATACAGACCGTCGTAGCGAGCACTGACCTACAGTTTCTGCTCCTGGAGTTTTTCCGAATTGCAGTATGGCGCTTATAACTTTCTGAGAAACGTCTTCCAATACCGTTCAAGTTTTACACTCAGAATTGTTGTCTTAAGGAATCTCCGAATGGTCATCGTCATCACTGCAGTAGTCATTCCATAAGTGAAGTGCCGTGGGATTTGTATATGCATCAATTACGGAGTAGTGACATTGAATTTGTGCACGCTTCGTGTTGTTCGAAGTCGTTAATGTTTGAACTGGTGAACATCAAACTCTAATTTGCTTTACTTCCGTATCTCTATTCTCTGAACTCCTAGCTAGATATTATTCGAACATTTTTATACACCATGGATCATTCTATATGTAATCAGAATGGTTCAGGTACAGGTGGACTTCTGAAATGATGGATGTATAACTGCCTTCTCGTATTGGCTATGGAAAATATATTGAAAAATTGATCATGAAGTTTTGATCTACTTGAAATGGTCTTGTAGGTTTCTGATAAGGATAGAAGAGCTTGGACAGCATGTGGGAGCTTTTGAATACTTAAATGATCTTATTGCAGTTGCTGCCTCACCTTTTTCAGTTGGTGTGGGTGAGATCAGTTAACGTTAAGGTTCAAGGTAATTGAGTGTATGATTCAATTCATTAACGTTCAATGCATTTACTCATGAATTGAAGTGAGACAGATTGCTAGATGCCGGGTCTCGTAAGCAAGAGATCGCATGATCAAGCACTTGCAGGCGAATTTTGCAAACTGATCTCTACATTGATGCATGGCTTGACGAAAGCCCGCAACCAGCTCGTCCGTCTCATGGACCAAGGGCAACCTAGAGGACCTCGCCTTTTTGGTGGCTATCATGGTCCATCATGTGCTGGGGTCAATGTGCCCAATCGCCACGAGTCTCCAGCCCGAGGACACTTGGGGTCTGCTAAGCAGTGTTTGCATTACGGGATCTCTTCGCCTCAGTCCAGAAACCTCTGCTCTCCAATGACTGGTCACGGGTCAAATCATATTGCACAACCATTACAAAGAGCTCCTTTTGTCTGTGGAAAGGCACTACATAGATCTTGTGAACGACCGAAGGAAAAAGCCTTGCAGGTACTCTCACAAAGTCCACAGGTGCCATATTCCTGTGAAAAGCAACAGCAACTAGTTAGAAGTCACAGAAAAATGGGTTCAAATGTTGAAATATCTATTGATCCTCTTGAACCTGAACAACGTCAACCCTGCCGTCGTGAGAGCAGCTGCTGCAGAGGTAGCTCCAGACCATCGGCCTCCTTGCAAAGGTCCATCGACTCAGCCCTTTTGCAACTAGGGAGGAGGCGTGATGACTGTGTTGGGACTCAATTTGCTGGCTTGCTGAAGGATTTAACTGACGAGCTGCGAGAGCGCCGGCTTGCATTTGATCATGTGAGAGAGTATTGATGGCACGCAGTTGATCTGCATTCTTCATCCTCCTGGCTTTGCAGCGTTAACTTGGGGGGTTGCGCGGTTGTCATTTAAGGAATTCCTGAGCCTCAAAAATTTCTGCTAGCATGTATGTCAGCTTTTTACATGTTATAAATTTTTGGAGTATCGTGCAATTGGTTGTCATTGTGCGTCGCTATCCGCGATTTTCTTGCAAGAAAGTATGTTGCCACACCTACATGGATCATTTCTGCGATTTATCTATTGGAGATCAGCAATTATATGAGAGAGCAGACTGAAAGTTTGACACAAGATGCAGAGATAGCTTCCTGTGGAACTTGGCAAACGTTTCTCTCCGGTGAAATTTTCCTTGGGCGAGTTAATCGTCTTCATCCCGAGGGTTGTAATACGTGTGTTACAAAACCCTCATATTTTATTCATAGTTGGAAAAATAATTGACCTTAATTGTTCCAAACGGTGTTCATATGCAAACTCTGGGCTGCTAGGATTTGTCGCTGAGGTAGAAAACTCGCTCGTTGGTCTCAGAGGGGCAGGCCGTGCGGAGCATTCTTGTAGCTTCTCAGATAACTTTGCAAGTAATCCTCTGTTCTGCCAAATTTGTTGCGCGGCAGGTCAGACTTGTAAATCTTCCAATCGTATAATGGCGTGGACGTATACTCAGCAGGACTAATCTTGTTCCACATCTCCTTGTCATGTTGGACCGCTCTCAGTCTGCCCAAGGAATCTGTAGTATTTTGCACGGCGACAGACATGTCCACCACGTTGTCGAAGTTCACTTTGTTCACAATTTTGTGAGCTTCAAGCTTCGACACAGCCGCACCTGTTTGCTCCTTCAGCATAGTTTGTCTCCGCATTGTGGCTCGTCTTATCGAGTCTTTCCTGTGGTCAAGGAAGACGGAGCCGCGCTGAAGCAGCGTAGACCCTCTCAGGGCACCACCTTCTGAAGCTCGGCGTACCAACGTTGCTGCTCGAGCTCTTGACCATCTTCTTCCTAACCAGTTGTCCAATTTTGGTCTCTGAGAGCAGCGTCGAGGTTTGGGTTCAGAGGGTACAATCCTTCCGCACTCGGACATGACGCGTTCGTGTCGATGCTTGAGCTTCTCCTTTATGTCCATGACGAACTTCTCCCGCATGGTTGCCTCGCCAATCGCTCGCTCTCTCTCCTTTGGCGATAAAACACGAATATTCCAAGGTTTCATTGGCGGATGTGGGCACATTCTTTTTCCGAGCTCACGGACCGTTCTGCTCTCAATCTTTTCGCGGTCTGAAATGAGATTCATCATGCGCTTAAGAAGTGGACTATCCTTGAGCCGATCCTCCTCGGCTGCAATGAAATCATCTTCCATCAGGTCCTCTCCTGGACAGTCCCTCATGATTCCACCGATTCCTCCAATCTGCGCCGAAGTTTTCAATTCCAAAACCAAGCCGCAAACAACTTGTTGCGATGCTTGAGCTGGACAATTGTCACTGTTTTCTTGTACGTCACCTTGCAACCATCTCAAGTGATGAATCAAAACCTTCGCCAGCAACTAATTCATAGAGGTTTTGTTGAAGCAGTAAAATCATCACTTCAACAGATTTGCTGCTTAATGCAAGCGACTAACGGAAGAAAATTCGTGTGCAACAATTCTACTGGCTTCAAATATGTTCGGCAGTGGAGAGCCAAAAGAGTTTTAGCTTTTTAATCTTATTTTTATTGTTACTAGCTTTGCATCAACTTGATAAAAGGACATGATCCAGAAGCCTGTTTTCCGAAAACTACGAACTAAGGTGACTTCATTCGCATTACGTGCTACAATAAGTAAAATCTAGTACTACCGTAGACTACTGCAAAGGAGCGAAGCGGTTCACCTCCCATTCTATCACTTCACCATGACCTCAGAAACAAGAACGCAGGAAATGTGAGAAGCGGAGATTCCAAAAGACGGGGCTGATTTAGTGACGGTTGTCTAAGTGGCTCTGGCATCTGAATGGGCGCTACAATGTTGTCGTCTCAGATTGCTTGATTATTTTGTTACGAGCTTCAGGGTAAGTTGAGGTGACTCGATGCGCGAAAGCTTGAGCCATACAGAAAAATCGCCTCCAAGGGTTGCGAGCTCACATGTAAGCAATGCAAAGTCGCTTCGAACTGTTGCAACTAACTACCGACGCACATTTCGCAAACAAAATCCAACAAGCATCATTAACTGTAAAACGGTACAAGTGATGGAGAGAAACGGAACGGATTGAGATTCACATGCAGCCTGATACATTGATATAGGAGTCACGTGTTGAAAGATGAACTACCCAGTTCTGTAATTGAATGAGGGCATTAGTCATCTTCCAACACCCCCTCTTGCACTCATTCCTCTGTACCCATTTTCCTTGTATTACTGATCTTCAGTTACGGTCAGTTGTTGTTAGAGGCCCATTGTTTGTACAGTTTAACATTTAGAGATGGAAGATGGATAAAGACATGGTTTTAGGATTTGTGTGCAAGCCTTTGTTTGTCATTAGTTTCTTGTCTTGTTGTTTTAGTGTCTTTGAAGCAGTTGTTGCTTCTTTATTCGTTGTATGCTTCAATATTTGTTTTACTGTTATAGGGTTTTTTTCATTCAGCACCAGTTGCTATGTCTTGTGTTGATGATGCTACCAATGAAGATGAAGAGTTATTGGTACCAAAAAAGACTTCAACTACAACTTCAATGGTAAAACAAGGGTTGCACAGGTTCTGGTCTAGATGGTTTCAGACCAGACAAGTTTCGTCAACAATATTGGGCAGACAAGGTATGGAGCACCGAAATTTGAACGTGGCAAAATTGATAAGGGCAACAAGGCAAGGCAGCGCAAGGTGTGGTATGTGGTACAGGAGGAAGTTAAGGGGGTGGAAGATCTGGTCAAGAACATGTGTATTGCTTAAAGAGTTTGTGCTTAGGGAGAAGTAGGGATTATGGAATAGGTTAGCAATTTGTATGGAGTTGCATGGAAGATCAAATTGTGATCTAATTTTATAGGATTAATGGGAGAATCTAAGAAGAAGAAGGCGAGGGTTGTAGCATGAAGAGGTTTTTTAGGTGGTGGGACACAGGAGTAGATGAAGATCAACAGAGAATATTGACAATTAGGAGGAGGAGGTGCCAATTTTAGAAGAGCACAAGTTGATTGAAAGAAAAGTGATAGTGGTGCTATGTTGGGTTGGTGTTAATGGATCTAAATTGCACGGCCGTTTTAGAAGAGGCGGTGAGGTGAAGACATTCCTATCAAAGGAAATCTGAGTTGTGGTGTTGTAGGGACATGGAGATAGATTGGTAGCAATAAGGACAAGAGATGGCTTAGGAGTTGATGACCATGGTAGATTCCTCATGATTTGCCATGTTGTTGCAAGGTGATAGTTGATTTTCAGTGGTGGTTAGATAGCAAGTTTGGAAGGATTCTTGTATATATTTTTTGGTGCGATAATAAGTGAGCGTGG